AAACGAAGGCATATTCATTTAGTACAATATCTTTCACTATTCAAAATAACAGTTTTCGGCGTTAAAGCGGAAATATTTTTGTAAAGGATATATATATATATATATATATATAGAAGCGAGAATAATGCGGAGTTTTTAAGACTATTATCTTCGTTTAGCGAAAAAGTCACATTGTCTTGCTTGTATCATTCTGCTATTGCTAATTCTATCATCATTTTGTAGATACGAGATGGGGTGGTACGTAGCTCCCTTACAAATGCAGAAGATGTTACTTTTTATGCTGCAAAGAGGCAGTAAGCCTTATTATTTGCGTCTCGGTAGTCTCTTTGTGGGATCTTTGGAAGGTTTTTCATCGGTAAGAAAAGATCACGCGTAATGTCGCCGGAAGATAGTGAAAGAAGTCTTTTATTTCAAAATGCTATTCGTATTAAAGACATAATTGAAGATATTAAAGACATAATTGATATTAAAGACAAAATTCTAGCATCAATAAAATTTCTTATTAATAACTAAAAATTTTGTTGCTAATAGCTATAAAGACCATGAAAGTAATATCACGACTATTCGTTATCCTTCATAGAAATTTAATATTGAGAATTACTAAAAAAATTTGCAATGATTTTTTCGATCCTGTAACGACCACTAATTTTTTACATACCGGGTCAGGATTGCTTTATCTTAATGATCGAACAAGAATTTGTAATAAGGACTATGACATCTTGAGGAATTATGTTTATAATACATACTTATATCATTCAATAAACTTTATAGTGGCATAATATTGGCAAATGTTAGAAAAATCACAAATGCTATCGACATGCAACGAAATATGTAATATATTAGGGAGACCGGAAAGTAATGTCGCTTTCTTAAGTTAAATTCACACGACTACATTTTTAACAAGTTTTTATTTCTGATCAACAATATATTCACCTTCGTTATCAACAACCTCTTGCCATCTAGTATACAAATTTTCAATGCCGGAGCGGTAAAAATCAATCAAATCAAATATCGATATGCGCAGAAACGACATTACTTTCCGGTCCCCCTAATATATTACTAAAACTGTTATATGATTAGTTTTGCATTTTAATTACAGATTATGGTGAAATTTAGTATAATCGATAAGTTACTTTAAAAAACACAAGTTTTAAGACAATTCATATAAATCATTAAAAAAAAAAAATTATTTTTTTAGTAATGAAAATTTTTAATTATTTTTGCAAAAATGGAGGTGTTGCATCTAGAATACATTTATAATATTTAATTAATAAATTAATCATCGCAGACAAGTTCACAATATATCCTGAAAAATACGGAAAATGGTAATATCATACAATGTAAGATATATTATAGAATCACAAACTAATATTCTAATCATTATCACTAAATGTTAATCATTAATATAAGACATTACCAAATTAATTTAACTTATTACTAACTATGTAATTTAAATATTCAGAATTACTAGTCACTAATATTAGAAATAATTGAAAAAATATAAAACATATTGCGCAGCAATAAATTAACTAATTTACCAGTATTAAATTTCTATAAGAAGTATTAAAAGTCACCGAAACATTCTGTTTGCTTATTATATGTGTTCGTGTACGACTTATTTTATGATAAAAAAATATCATCCTCATGTTGGAATTATTAATCTAAAAATTTTTATTAAAATTTTGGAATTAACAGCCTCCTGAATTGTAAGAGAGAAATCGTTAAGGAAACACGTTTCTTTGCAGCTAATGAGCGCCACGATATCTTACTTCACCGTCATTTATTCAACACGACAATAGTAGAGATATCTAGCTTCAATGTAATCTCCCAGCAACGTAACTAAATAGAAATTTTGCTAAAAGAATTAAATATACGGTATTTTCCATTTCTATTCCTAGCTATCAAATACAACCGAGATGACCGTGGTTTGTTTACTTATTTCATTCTAAGAAATTGCTACGCCAACTAAAAGATATCCTGATATGCAGCGAATTATTTTATTTAAATGTTTTAAAAAGATGCAGGTAGATACATCCTCTGAAGACTTACTGCTGTTGCAAGAAGTGATATCAACATCAAGATCCAAGCAAGACGAATAAAGATTAGAGATGAAACGTAACGTATGACGGCTCGCGTGAGAATGAAATATATCCAACTACGTTGAACGTAAATACGCTTGCGCAGACTTTGCGGGACAAGATATTCCGTGAGAGTCCGTATATCATAGCAAGGAAATATCTGGAAAAATATTTTCCTCTGGGAAATTGATCGCTTAATCGTGGATAGGGTATCAAAGACATTGGTGAAATAAAACCATTGCTTTCTCACGGTGTTATTTCGCGGTCATATTACGTTATTGAAAAAATTGGCTACATTGTACGCCTAAAAATTGGCTACTAAAATGTACGCTCAATTTGAGGTAAGTTATAAGATAATCATCCTA